TTTAGGCAAAAAAAAAAATAAAATTTCGCGGATGTGGAGTTAACGGCGCACGTTGATCAAATTATGAATTTTCTTTTATGAGATTATGAATTTTCATCAAATTCATAATCTCATAACAGAAAATTCATAATCGCATAACAGAAAATTCATAATCTCATAACAGAAAATTCATAATCTCATAACTGAAAATTCATAATCTTATAACAGAAAATTCATAATCTCATGGTTCCAAAGTGAATGTGTAGGCATGGTTCCAAAGTGAATGTGCAGGCATGAATTTTCATAATTTATGAATGTCCGTGATTTCGGACGGGAATGTGTAGGCATGGTTCCAAAGTGAATGTGCAGGCATTAATTCATAATTTATGAATGTCCGAAATCATTGTTCACTTCAAATTAAAGTGAAACCGCAAAAATTTCATAATCGCATAACAGAAAATTCATAATCTCATAACAAAAAATTCATAATCTCATAACTGAAAATTCATAATCTTATAACAGAAAATTCATAATCTTATAACAGAAAATTCATAATCTCATGGTTCCAAAGTGAATGTGTAGGCATGGTTCCAAAGTAAATGTGCAGGCATGGATTCATAATTTATGAATGTCCGTGATTTCGGACGGGAATGTGTACGCATGGTACCAAAGTAAATGTGCAGGCATGAATTCATAATTTATGAATGTCCGAAATCATTGTTCACCTCAAATTAAAGTGAAACCGCAAAATGTGAAAATGAAGAAAAAAAGTCACGCAATTAATTAAGAAAAAAAATAATAATAACGGTGTATTAACACCGTTAGAACCGTGTTCACCATGAATGGTGAACAGGGTTCACGGCATAACGCTCCCAGTATAGCACGGATCAAGCAAATATCACTCAATATTTCCAAAATCCCATGAAATTACATAGGCCCACCCAGCACCATGGACCCAATGTGTCATTCCTTTACAACTCCCACCCTACTGCCCAAAGATTTTTTAATGTAACCTCATTTCCCAGGATTAATTCATGCATGCCCATTTTAATTATGCAACTCACAACCAAACCCAGCCTCCATACTGCCATCAATTCCCAGTGCAACGAGTAACGTAACCCCATTTTTATTTTCCATCCATTCTAAAAATTATCCAATCTTACCAGACCACCAACCACCATGCACACTGCCCACATCCCTTTCTTTAATTTTCATTATTTTCTTCTTTCTTTTGTTTTTAAACCAATTCCCCATTCAATACTTGTTTGCTACCAATCATCCAAATATAAGTCCTTCGTTTTTTGCACAATTTCTCCTTTCCTCTTCTCAAATTCTTTCTTTACACTTGCCATATATTCAAGCCTAGTCTCCTCCCATACTTGTTTGTTCACAACAAATGATCTAGGCCCACTACTAGCCATAGGAGTCTTAGAAGCTGAGCCCAAATCTCTTAGCAGCCAAGTCCACTTCCTTAGGTCCAACCCCATTCCACACAAAATAATGATGTGCCTTTGGCAAATTATTGTGTCGGCCATAGTTCACACAATGTTATGTGGATCATAACAAAAAGTACATTTTTAATATACTAAATGTACATTATTTTTGTACTGTATGTACATTATACAATATAATATACACTCAGTACAAAAATAATATATATCCCCTGAATATAATTTACATTATTTTTGTACTGGATGTATATTATTTTTGTACTTAATGAATATTATTTTACAGTATATAAAACATGGTATAATGATTGCATTCCTTTAACTACTTGCGAATAATAGTATTTGAAGTATAATTTAAGTTAGGCAAATTAATGAGTACGTATTATTCGAGTTTTAATTTAGAATATTTAAACTTATGTATAGATACTCATTAAGAAATATTTGACGTATAATTTGAGTTAGACATAATTTCAGTTTCTAAATCCTAAACACAATAGAATTTGGAGTATGGTTTGACTTTTCTAATCCTTAATTAATAATGGAAAGTTTAAAGAATCCTAATCCTAGCCTGCACCTAATAGTATCCTCAGTAGTTATATATATAGATACATTATAATGAGAGATTTTTGTTTCAGAGTTGTGAAGTTTGCTCAAGAAGAGAAGCGAGAATTGAAATAGTGTTGGCTGACTCACAGGTATCTGTGTCTATTTATTTCTTATTTATATAGAACAAGATGAGTAGCAGTAGCATTATTAGCATTGATGATGCGGGTACACAAAGGGCATGGTCAGATCTAGATGAGGAACTCTTATCATGTATTCTCAAACGTTTGGTTATTGGGGATTATTATACTTTTCAATCTGTATGTAAATCTTGGAAGTCCATAACACCAATTACTCGTCCATTGTTGCCAACACCACTTGAACATGCATCACCATGTGACATAGATTCGTATGAAGCCCTGCATCTATTGTACTTGAATCAAAAAACTAGTTTGTTCAATTTTTATGATCCAACTCGCAATATTAACTATTCACTTAACATTCCTCAATTGTTGGATGATGATATTGGTGAAGTTGAAATTTTGGATGCAAATCATGGTTGGTTGCTGCTTGCTAAAGGCATTAAATCTTATTTCTTCTTCAACCCCTCAACTAAGGTTAAAGTAGACTTGCCAGACATACAAGAACCATCATTTATATGGATGTGTTTTTCCGGATCACCAACTTCTCACAATTGTCAAATTGTTGGTATTTGTAGTACTCTTTCATATTTTATTAGTGTAGGTGTATTGAATTTGGGTGAAGATTCATGGACAGTGTACCCACAAGTAGACAATAATATAGATTTTATAGGTGCGTGTTGCACCCCAGTTATTCGCAGCAATGGACATATCTATGTTTTAGGAGAATCTGGAAATCTCGGGGACCTTTACATTCCAAAAGAATATGATGACAGAATTTATTGGAATATTATTGGTAAGTCAGACCGACAACAATTTAAAAATTTTCGAGATCGGTTTCTTCTAGAAAGTGATGGAGATCTAATGTGTGTGGCAACTCTTGAGGAAGGCGAAGTTTGGGTTTTGAAGCTTGATTCTAAAATGGTTTGGCAAAAGGTTGAGAATTTGAAAGGAAAAACTTTTTATGTTTCTCCCAAGATATCATTGTCACGAGAAGCAACTGTTCGAGGAACTAGTAATAAGATATATTTTCCAAAGTTTTATGATGGCAAAGGAGTGTTTTATTGCCTTGCAACAAAGAGGTGGCGTAATTTTCCACAAAGTTTTTCGAGTAAAGATTATTATAACACAAGAGAAATAGTTGAATGTATTTGGACTAGACTTCCAAGTATTTCTGATTCATGAAACTTGTAATAATGTATGATGGATTGATGGATACTAGAAACAAGTTTTAATTTAATTTGAAATATAAAATATTTTAGTTTAATTTGTACTTTCATGCTTTACTCCTTTAATACATATATGTTGATTATGAACCAAAAAGAAAATCATGGTGCTATATATTCGTTTGTTTACCAAAAATAATGGTGTGTGTGGTGAGTTATAGACACAAGATTGCTTTCTCCTCTTCCCTATTTTACACGGAAAGAACTTTCATTGACTTTTAATGCTTTCTTATAGAACATTTGCCGTATCTTTGCATGGTTTTACTGCACTATTTTGGTCTTTTTGAAAAAGAATGAATGTTGCTTGTTATATCTAGAAATGTGATCAAATTTATTCATATCTCTTTAACATAAAAATGCGATCAAATTTATTCATCATCTCTTTAACATAAGAGAGCAAAAGAGCAAAAGAAGAATCTCTTAATCTCCTACATTAGATTGTATTCCTTGGACTATTTGTAGAGAATCTGTTTCAATCTACAGGTTATACATTCCATGATCCTTCATATAGCCAGTGCTTCGGCTTCTTTCGGCAAGATCGAGAATCTGTTTGTCACCTCTTTCCAGTCATGAAGATAATATGAAGCTCCAACAATGGCAGTCCTGGCATTCGGTTGGATTGAGTTCCAAATCTTGTTGTTTCTCGCAAGCTTTATTTTCCAGCAATACATGACTAATAAGGCATGCACTGTCTTCTGCACTCAACTGTCTCCCATTTGTTCATCTGATTGTTAATTAGTTAGGATACAGTACAGTAGCTCCTTCCAGGTAAGGATAGGGGGTTGTTTCCACAGCAGCATTATCAGGATCTGGGAGCCATTAACCTCCTGATTGAGTTAGTTGCTAGAATACAGTGATCATGGGAGAGTTATTGTCTAAAATCAAAGAATGCTTTCTATAAATAGAGGTTTGATTTAGGTTGAAAATATGTGAAATTTAGAGGATATTGAGAGAGTGTTAGAATTCAGACAAAACTCCATATTCGAAGGTGCTAAATTTGTGTACTACAAAGAGAAGTCAGCTGAAGATAAAAAAAAAATTTCAGTACAAGCCGTGTTGATTGATCAGGTAGCTAGGTGCATTTTTATAATTGTCAGATTAGTACAAAACTATAAATGTTGTAAAGATGCATTCAACTATTACGGGTAAAGGAAGAGTACAAACTTATTGGAGATAAACAGATAACGAACGTGAAATCTAATAGTGGCGAACTTTAGATATCGTTTTAGTAATTAAGAGACTAACTAAGGAACATTTACAGAAAAATCACATGGTCAAGAGACCCCAGCTGGATAATCTCAATTCAAATCAACCATCGTTACCCATGATTACAAAAATAAAATGAGATCATGCCAATCACAATAATTCGTTAAAAAGAGCCTATTTTGTGTTTGTTTATAAGGCAGACTTGTATTAACACCTACAATAGAATCTTTCTATGAGAGGATAACTTGATTCAAGGTGTGATGTTTATGATCATAATTAAGACACCAACTAATTTTTAGGATACATCATCAATCCATAGAGCAAAGTAACAAATTCAATGGTACGAACACACTTAAAAGGGCACCCTATTATTATTATTACAATAATAATAAAACTCACAACCAAATTAATAAAAATGCGAGCAAAAAAAAATAAAAATAAAAAAACAAAATGCCACTGGCCCATGTGAACAATGGTAAGGAAGAACTTAAGTTGGTTTTCTCATGTTACGCCCTGCCCGAATTGCTTCATCCACAAGTAGTAGTTGAGATGCTATTGCAGGGCTGCAAAGTGAAAAATTGAGTTTTTTTAGCGGAAATTGCTAGATCAGAGCCCTTACAATGTAATATTGTTGTAAAAAAGGACACACTTCACCTACCCCAAAAATCCAAAGAGAAGAATTATGGAAGATTGCAGTGTAAATGAGCACATATATAGGGGAGAGAGGGCAGTTAATTTTCCACTAACCCAGAGTTAATAATCTGATACTTGACAGAATAATTATCAAAGATCCCCTCCATTTGTGGATCTATAGGCTCTCCTGTGTGCAGAGATAGTCCCACAACATTTCCCTTGTCATGCTCACCCTGCAAGAGAATCACAATTATGACCAACAAAATAAGCTTATTATATGTAATTTAATGATAGAAATGAAATCTATCATGCTTGTTTCCCATTGGAAAAATCAATCAGTTACCGTCAGGGCAATGATCACATCTTGAGTATCAAGGCCAGAGTTCTCAATAAAAGTGTCTTGGGTAACAGGAGGAGGGCATTGGCAAATAGGGATGATAATATGCCCCGTCCCCGATGGGGATCCCTGATCCCCATCCCGACGGGGACGGGGATTGTGAAAATTTGCGGAGAACGGGGACGGGGACGGGGATACCCCTCCCCGCCCCGTCCCGTCCCCGAATAATTTTTATAAATAAATAAATAAATGAATAAATATATATATATATATATATATATATATATATATATATATATATATATATATATATATATATAATTAATACTTAGGTTTAGTTTTTAAAAATAATTTAAAATTTTGACTAAGAGTTGAATTGAACGGGGATGGAGAATTCCCGTCCCCGCCTAATTCCTCGCGGGGGCGGGGATGAGGAGTATTTTCAATTCCCCGCCGGGGATGGGGACGGGGAGTATACTCCCCGCCCCCGCCCTGTTGCCATCCCTATTGGCAAAAGCTTCAACACCCCGCTGTGCACGATGTTCAATGTTTGGTCATAGGGATAAAAGTAGAGAAAATCAGGCAATTAATTGACATTTGACAATTGCAAATGTTTCAAATTAAAACTCATAAATAGACACGATAAACACACACGTACCCCTTGAATAGTTTTCTTCACTTCGTTGATCAAGTACTATCGAGCAGCCACTTCAAATGCACCAGCACCCTATCGGCAAACATTGTTCGTAACTTGTGAAAAGTTATTCGTGCGATTGCCGTGACAGGCAACATTCGGCAACTCTTAATCGAGTTATTAAATGACTCAGATAGATTGGTTTTCATAACGTCGTACTGATGACCTCCATCGTGACATAATGTCCATGCCTCTTCATCGAGTTCTGCCATATAGTTGTATGCATTGGGCCAATTTTGTTGGATGGTCTGCATGTTTTTATTGAATTGATTTGTTGTAACAGCAGTACCAGCTTCCCAAATCAATCTACGTAACCACCGATTTCTGCTGACCTTTGTCAGGACATTGCTCCGCAAGTGTCTAAGGCAATACCTACGTTTCACTCGGCCATGCAATTGTGTGGCGTTCTTAAACGCCGCATCAATTCCAGAATGTCTATCCGAAACGATGCACATTGAGTAGTAATCGGGGAAGACATGTTCAACGAGTAGTCGGATAAACTAAGTCCAGCTAGCATTATTTTCCGAGTCCACTATTGAATAAGCCAGTGGATATATTTCTTTGTTTGCAGTGTATCCGCATACTAGAAGGAGGTGCCCTTTGTACCGGTTGGATATGCTAAAATAAACGGCCTAGTCTAGGCCGTTTTTAATTTTCTAAAAAATTAAACACGGCCTAGTCTAGGCCTTTTTTTTTTTTTTTTTTTTTTTTTTTTAGACATCGCACCGATTCCAGAATCATTCAAACTGAAATCAATGTAAAATTTCAAAAAAACCATAAATGATTTCAGTTTTAAATCATAAGCTATATACAAAGTTTAAAAAAACACAGATTTCAGTTTTAAATCATAAGCATTATTGCAAAAGCTAGAAGGTACATACATCAAAGCATTATTCAAAAAAGCCACAGATTTCAAAAGCATTATTCAAAAAAACCACAGATTTTATAAGCATTATTGCAAAAGCATTATTCAAAAAAACCACAGTGTTGGTCCCGAAAGGGTGGGGAGAAGTCTAGAGGGGGGGGGGGGGGTGAATAAACTTCTCTAACTTTTCAAACTTCTTCTGCAAACAACACTTTGGTAAAATCAACTCTAAGTAACAAGCATAAACAAGTATAACAACTTAGAGTGTGCACAGCGAAAATGTAACGACAAAGTGTTATGCTTTAATTGTGTAGTGCTCAAAGAGAGATTCTATACATGCATCTCGTTAGAAACACTTGATATAGATTAAGGATGATGTATGTAAAATTTCATTTGCATGCAAACGAGGGAACTATCAAACCCAGATAGATAAAGATACGCAATAAACCGTAACGGGTTAGTTCACAGATGATATAAGCATGCACGAAATATATATGAGCAGTAAGTAAATAGAGAGAGAGATTTATAGTGGTTCAGAGGTGGTGTAATCCTCCTAGTCCACTCTTCTCCTTTCACTTCAAGGAGGAAATTCACTATTCTTCGATCACCCAGATACAATAGTGAATAAGTGTCCAGCGACACTTCTCCGAGTGCTTTGCACAAAGCTACACTCCTCCAAGGTTTTTCGCAAGCTCCTTTTGTTACTCCGCCTTCTCGAGTACTTCGCACCAAGCTGTACTCCTACACCACGAGAACTGCGCACAAAGCTACGCTCTCACCGGGTTTTCACAAGCTCCCCTTGTTACTCTACCATTTACAACCGAGTGCTACGCACAAAGCTACACTCCAACTGGGTTTTTCACTCTCTCCAGTTACTCTACCCCTTTTCTACACTCAGTAGAAGATTTACAATGAAATACAGAGATTTCTTTTCTCAGACTTGAATTCTATCGTGTATAGCTCAATATATCACTTGATGATTGATTTGATAATTTTCTTTGTTGTTCAAGTGTTTTGTGAATCTTTATTTGTCTTCAAGTCTGCTTGGGCATTTTATAGCCAATGAAAGCTATTTGCCCGTTGATCAACTTTCGATCTCGATCGTCCATTTTGAATTGTAGTTGATCAAATAATTTTGCCAACTTGGTCTGCAAAGTCATTTCGCCGTCTGTCAGAAGATTTGAATAATCTTGCCGTTGCTCTCCTTTAATCTGACAAAGCTTTTCTTTGGAATGGGTAGCCTCCAAATTTGAATTTCTCTAGCATGACTTTTGTTGAATTATTGATCTGATGTGCCAAGTTGATCAAATAATTTATATGCTGATTCTTGCTTGAGTATAAAAAGGATTTCCTTCGTGTATCAGCTTCTTCTTCTCCTTCAACTTCCTTCGCTGAAACAGAGCTCAAAAAGAATGTTTCTGTCTAACTATTTTATCATGATGTCATAGTTCCTTTGATGAGGTCATGTCCCAATAGTATATCATGTTGTCTAACTATTTTATCATGATGTCATAGTTCCTTTGATGAGGTCATGTCCCAATAGTATATCATGTTGTCTAACTATTTTATCATGATGTCATAGTTCCTTTGATGAGGTCATGTCCCAATAGTATATCATGTTGTCTAACTATTTTATCATGATGTCATAGTTCCTTATATCATGTTCCACCTTGTATTATGAACTAGTATCATGTTCCACTTAATATCATGAACTAGTAATTACGTTGAGTAGGAATCAAACTGTGGACCATTCGCTTTGCTTGGCAAGGCTTCTTCCATCTTGGCTGGGTAACCACTTCACAAGCCATACCACACTGTGACATCATCATCCGATATATCTAACTATCATGATATAAAAGTGTTCTTTCATGATAGTTCTACCCGATATCACTTCATGATAGCATTTCTTCATTACACCAAAATTACTTCTAATGGGAATCGAACTATAGATCATCTCATATCAAGCATGCTTTAACAAGTCTTCTACCATCTTGTCCATCTCAACCTTTGATGACTTAATGCTTCATAAATGTGTTAAGCTATGATCCCGCTTTCATTTATTCTTACTTCAAAACTGCTTTCACGTAGACTTCATGGCAGTGGTGCACTATACTTTGTGAACCAGAACTGACTCAAATAAAATAAAATTGGGGTCTACAAAATACATTTGACACATCAAAACTCATACAATATATTCCTAACAATTTCCCCCTTTTTGATGATGCCGAAACTTATACCCAAGTCATTTGGCTATGTCAAATTTTGAAAAAATAATCTTTTTGTCCAATTTTATTGCGACTAGCCATTTGACGGGTTTGACACATTTAAAACCTAGAGATTTTATTTTGGACAATCCTAAACGTATATTGAGATTAAGACGCGGGGTTGCGTATTGATTTTTATCTTTTAATTTTTCTTCCCCCTTTCAATTTTAATTTCTCAATTATACGCTTCACATGCAATTACTAAGACCAATTAAAATCTTGAGACTTTAAAACAATTAAGTAAACATACTAGACAAAAATAAAGAGATAAACCATATGCTAGCTTTTTACATTTTGTACCAAAAAGGCATAATTCGAACAAGCTAGCTAATATTATGTACACCAAAAAGAATGAGGCTTCAAATTTTACCTCTTGCCAATTAAGGCATTCACTTTTGCCCTTAACTTCTTGAAGTCTTGTTCTCCTTCCTTGAGTTGGTATGGTGCGTTGACTTGCTCGGTAACATAGTTTCCATATGCTTCTTGAACGTTGTCACCCCGCAATACTCCGGCTTGGTACCAAGCAACACATTCTTCAAAAGATCTTCCATCTACCATCTCGTTGCTTGAGTGCCCAAAGAATGTCTCCAACTCACGTACAAGCTTCATTTTGTTCTCTTCATAGAGTGATCTTGAAGGTGATGAACTTGGATAATCCGAGCTTTGTGCGGTCACAAGATAATCCATAATCCTTCCTCTTCCTCTTCCTCAGCTTTGAACCTTCGATATGGGTGTGACTCCTCTCGGTGCTCCTGGAGGTCGAACAAGCTCAACTAGTGGCCGTTGTGAAGACGGTCCAATTAAATGATTTACCAAATGGTTTGGAGCTCCTCTAGCCCTTTCCCCCTTTTCGGCAGCATCAACATAGTGTTGGAAACTCGCCGAAGCTTTGTCTTGGCTCTTTTGGACTCCAACTAAGAGATCATTGTTCACGCCAACTTGGTGTAGTAGAGCTTTCAATTGATTTTCCACTAATTGTAGCCTCGATTCATACTCCGTCCCTTTCTTTCCTAAGTCAAGGAACATCTTCAAGACTTCCCTATTATGCTCTTCTTGTTTGGTAGACATTGTGGCCATATCGCCTTGCATTGATCCTTGTCCAAGTAACAAGGATTCGGCCCTTTCATAAACTTCCTTGTGAAAGTCATCTAGTTTGGTATCAACATTACCAAATTGATTGTGGACTTTCTCAAATTCTTGAAAAACATTTCCTCTCAATTTTTGAATTTCCCTACGTACATCTCCAACAATACTATCTCTTATAGCATTAATATCAATGGAATGAGAATGTACCTCCTTGTGTGACTCATGTGGATGTCTCGGCATGGAGGGTTCAACCGGCTCCGATGGTTCCACGTATGGTGTATTGTCAAGACACAAGGCCTCATCAAGTGTAGGCTTCATTGGTTCGGCAGTGGCAAAATTGATTGGCTCGGCACAACTTAAAGGCAAAGGTGACACTTCAATTTGTAACACATTTTCTTGTGCCACCATTTGGCTTTCATGCTCCCTTAAATCACCAATATTTTCTTGAGCATTTTCCAAGTTTTCATTCACTGAGTTTGTTACATCCGTAGCCGTGTGAGGAGAAATAACATCAAAACTAAGATTATCCTCCCCAATATTCGAAGGAAATGGATCCAAATCTTGTAAGCTTCCACCTTCGGTCTCCTTCAAATGTGATGCTTCTCCCGGTGTACCGTGCACTTCTTCTCTCGAAATAACCAAGGCTCGGGCAATATCATCTCGAGCAAATCCATCAATTGTCTCAACGGCAACTTCGGGAACTTCTTGTGCCACTTTCTTGCCCTGACTATTGGCAACTTTCTTGAGAAAACATTCATTTATTACCGATAGCCTTGTTGCGGTAGCAAGATTTCTTGTGCCAATCCATGTTAGAGCAAATTCCTCTAACTCAAGAGTATTCGGTCCTATTGTTGTAGCAACCGAATTGTGATCACTTAATCTCCAATTCCTCCAAACTTTCACACGTTCAAATTCCTTTAACAACTCACTATCCGCCCCATATGTTGGAATGTCATCTACACTCCCAACTTTGCTTAGAATTCTTATTTCATCTTCATTCGGGTGATTTTCCTCTTCATTCGCAAATCACCCGTGTGATTTTCCTTGATCCTTCGACTCCAATTTGATTGAGAGCTCCTTCCATCTTGATAGAACAAATTGGGATAAATTTTGAGGTGGGTTTTTCGGGTGGGTTTTCGGCAGTCCGAAAGAGAAGGTTGAAGGGAGTGGGTTTTTGGTTGTGAGAGGTTTCAAGGATAACGGTGAGGGTGGGTAATGGGTATTTGTGTGTAGAAGAGATTTTTGTGGGAGATTTGGGATGTGTTGGTTTGAATTTGGAGATTTTCAAGTTTTTCCTCTTCTTCTTGCATGCGTCGGCGGTGAGAGTGAGGGAGAAGGAGATGATCTTCTTTCTTCCTCTTCTTCTTGTTGGAGGCAAAATAAATGCCTAGCAAAATTACCATTTTACCCTTTAGTGGATGGAGAGAGATTGTAAAACAATTGAGGGCAACTTCAAACTTTTACTGATTTAAATTTGCCAACTCAGATTTTAATACTCCATTTGTGGGTACATGGCGCCAAAAATTAAGCTTCAATTAGCTGCCACCTGTAGATGTTCATGGAGCAAAAATTTCTTCATCACGAAATTGTTAGTGCAATAAATCTGTTCATGCTAGCAATTAATTTCAACATCTAATAAATCTGAGAATTAAAGTTGAGCGACCAATAAATTTAATTTAAACAGATAAGACCAAAATTGATGCCAGATATATTTCTAAAAAGAAATCACATCATATTGACTTAAGCAGGTCAAAATTAAATTTAAAGCAGATGATCATTCATTCTGACAAAACAACTTGTATGCACTGAATTCAATTTGAAGCATGGCTTAGCATCAGCATGTTTCCCCTAACTTATATATCCTCTATATCTCTATCAAGAAGCATTCCCCCTGACTTATATAACTTAAGAGCAAATAACCAGTTTCTACGTACCTAAGTTCGTAAGATAAAATTACTAACATGTACACAAATAAATTGTAACACATTAATTAAATTAAATCACGTAGAACACATAGGTAACAAATTCCATGCAATTTCATGCAAAACACGTACACACATTTTTGAATTAAAGAGTTCGAAATACTTAGCTCATTTCGATCATTCCCATTTCGTGCCTTAGAGTTGCAAAACGAGATTCACACAATGGTTTTGTGAGAATGTCGGCAATTTGATTTTCTGTGGGAACATGATCGATCTTTAAATCTTTCTTCTCGACGTGGTCTCGTATGAAGTGATGTCGAACGTCGATGTGTTTTGTTCGCGAGTGGAGCACAGGATTTTGGGTTATTGCAATTGCGCTAGTATTATCACATAAAATACTAACATTTTCACATTTAATCCCATAGTCCAACAATTGTTGCTTCATCCACAAAATTTGTGCACAACAACTCCCAGCTGCAATATATTCGGCCTCGGCAGTGCTTGTAGCTATGGAGTTTTGTTTCTTGCTGAACCAAGAGACCAATCTTCCCCCTAAGAACTGGCATGTCCCTGAGGTACTTTTTCGGTCTATTTTACACCCTGCAAAATCTGCATCTGAATAACCAGTTAGTGTAAAATCACCTTCTTTGGGATACCATAATCCCACATCGATTGTTCCTTTGAGATATCGAATTATCTTCTTGGTTGCAATCAGATGGCTCTCTTTAGGCTTCGATTGAAATCTCGTGCATACTCCAACTGAGTAAGATATGTCCGGTCTGCTTGCGGTTAGATATAGCAGCGATCCAATCATTACTCGATAAATCGTTTGATCAACGTCTTTGCCTTCATCATCTTTGTCCAATTTTTGAGATGTACTCATGGGAATTTTGACTGAGGATTTTCCATCTATGCCAAATTTCTTGATAAGATCTCTTGTGTACTTGGCTTGATTTATGAAAATTCCTTCTTCAAGTTGCTTGACTTGCAGTCCCAAAAAGTAATTTAATTCTCCCATCATACTCATCTCGAACCTGTTCTGCATGAGCTTAGAAAATTTCTCACATAAAGATTTATCAGTACTTCCAAAGATAATATCATCAACATAAATTTGTACTAATAGAATGTGATTATTTTCTTGAATTCTAAAGAGGGTTTTATCGACTAGACCTTTGGTGAATCCACAACTAATTAAGAACATTGACAAGGTGTTGTACCAAGCTCGCGGAGCTTGTTTTAACCCATACAATGCCTTCTTTAATTTGTAGACTTGATCACCAACGTCTTTTACCTCAAAACCAGGTGGTTGTTCGACGTAAACTTCTTCTTCAAGTAAGCCATTAAGAAATGCGCTCTTTACGTCCATTTGATATACGATGAAATTCTTGTGCGCTGCGTATGCTAGGAATATCCGGATTGCTTCGAGTCGTGCGACAGGGGCGAATGTCTCATCAAAATCAATGCCTTCTTCTTGTGAATACCCCTTCGCAACTAATCTTGCTTTATTCCTAACAATGATGCCGTCTTCGTTTGCTTTGTTCCTAAAGACCCATTTAGTGCCAATTACATTTTGGTGCGTTGGTCTTGGAACAAGTTTCCATACGTCGTTGCGCTTGAATTGATCTAATTCCTCTTGCATGGCATCTATCCAACTTGGATCGGCTAATGCTACGTCAATTTCCTTTGGCTCCAGTTGTGATAGAAAGCATGAGAACATTGCATCTTGTTGTTGGTTCCTAGTAGATGATCGCGTCTTTACTCCGTCACTTGGATTTCCAATGACTAAGTCATGTGTGTGACTTCTTAGCCATTTTCGATTTGGTTGGAAACTTGTTGGATTCTCAGAGTTTCCTTCTTGTTGGAATACTTGTTGTGATTCCACTTGTTGTAAATTGTTGACGGGTGCATCTTCGGGTTCATCTACTGGAGTTCCTTCTTCTTGAATTCTGGGTGCAATTTCGGTTGTAGGTGTGCGTGATATTTCGGGTATCACATTGGATATTGCCTCAATTTGGTGAGTACCCATATCACTTGATTCTTCTACTTCCTGCAACAGATTATCTTCCAACATATCGTTATAAATAATTAAATCACGATTACCTTCACTATCTTTGCCATTTTTGTCGTGATTTTCATCGAACACAACGTGAATCGATTCTTCTACCACCATGGTTGATTTGTTGAATATTCTATATGCCTTGCTGGTGGATGAATATCCCAAGAATGTTCCTTCGTTTGCTCGCTCGTCAAAAGTCTTTAATTGAGACTTTCCATTAACAAGTACAAAACATTTACAACCAAATGTATGAAAATAGGTGAGATTGGGTTTTCTCCCTTTCCATAATTCATATGGTGTTTTGTTATGAGACTTGTGGATTAGACTGCGATTTTGAGTATAGCATGCTTCAACAAATCTTCTACCATCTCGTCCATCTCAACCTTTGATGACTTAATGCTTCATAAATCTGTTAAGCTATGATCCCGCTTTCATTTATTCTTCCTTCAAAACTGCTTTCACGTAGACTTCATGGCAGTGGTGCACTATACTTTGTGAACCAGAACTGACTCAAATAAAATAAAATTGGGGTCTACAAAATACATTTGGCTCATCAAAACTCATACAATATATTCCTAGCACACAGATTTCAGAAAACAAAGAATCTGGTAGCTACATACATC